AGTTCATGGGACGGTCTTTCCTCCTGCCACCAGCATCTCTACTTTTCTTGTGGTATGGGGAGTTTGGTCACCAGTACATCTTGCTGGTGCCACCTGAGCATGACTCTGAAATGTAAGCATTTCTCGAGAGCTGAAGGTGCAAGGGGAGAGCCATGAATCTGGACTGGCATGTATGGACGGAATTACGCTGATTTATTCCTTCTCATCAGCTCTAGGACAAGATAAGACATTTTCTTTTTCAGGACAAGGAAGTTATATAGGTGAGTATTTCTCCTGCATTGCACTTGCTCGCTCTCCTTCTCTCTTTCCTTGTAGGCAAACGACATCAGATTTCTGGCAGAGACTCCCATGGGAAGGGTGTAGCAGGTCTGAGCACCCGGCATCTTTCCCATTTATGCTGAAGCGGAAGGGTGGCCGCAGACTGGCAAACAGCTTTGCTGGTCCAAGGACCTCTCTGTTCACTCATAGGGGAACCCAGGCAGCACAGCGACACTGAAATCCCAGCATCTCTCCTGTATGAACTCAGCCCCGGTGCCTGGGATTTCTGCTCTGCAGGATATTCCATAGCAAGGTCTCTGACTGTATCTATCCACCACTGACCTGTGATGCACACCATCACCTTGTCCCCTGGTGCCACACACGCCATGCCTCCAAGCACTGGTACCACTCCAAGCGACCCAGGGTGCACACACTAGGGACACACTGGGTGCTCACCCACGGACATGACTGTGGGGCACCACCAGCCATGCACTCAGATACCACCATTACCAGTCCAGGGACCTCCTCCTCTTCTTGGAAGGACAGACAGGAGACAGACTCCTAGACCAACAAGGCTCCAGTAAGATCAAGCACTGCCTACCTTCCTCTGGGCCATCCCCTGCCAGAAAGAGCCTGCAACATCTGGCTCTTAATTCAAATATTTGGGGCAAGTTACTGTTGCTCCGGCAATAAAACCAAGAGCTTCTGCCCCTGGGCAGAGACTTGCCCCTGGGAACCTGCTCTCCACGGGGAGTTTAAGTGCCCTGGCACTACACCAGAGGTGAGTGCATAGGAAAATCTCCCCATACGTTGATAAAAGAAGTAATACTGTTATCCCCAGGTTATATACTGGGAGCAGAGGACCAAGACACTCTTCCAGCAGATGCATGTCAGAGCCAGGAACCAATCCTTACCTCTTTAGCTGTGGTTCAACAGGCTTGCTATTGCCAACCGGAGTTGCTATCGCTCCTGCCAAACCTTGTGCTTTTCTTTTTCTTTTCTTGCTCGCAGACCTTACGGTCCAATTCAGACCGGTGTACCTGCACCCCACCTTCTCGGTGCTGGACAAGCATATTTAACAGCAGACCCTCCTTCTCCTCTGCACATGTTCCCTTCCGAGCAGGCGGAAAACACAGGGTTAAGCTACGCTGTACTTCCATTTGACAACCAAAACCGGCATGCCATCAGATCATGCTCAGGTGGAACCAATTACACAGGGGAAAGGAAGGAGCCAGAGCCCTGATGCAAGAAGCTCCTTGGTCTGCAGCTTTGGAAGCCAGCTGCTTTTTTCTGTCCTTTCAGAGTTTCCAGGCCCCATCTCCACTGCAAAGGTGTTGTGCAACCCGGCTGTTTTGCAATTGCCGCCTGACTCGGCCGTGGAGCTGGGGCTCTGGGCTTTACCCTGTCCCACCGTGCCTGCAGCAGCTCTGGCCTCCTGCCCACCTGCGCTCCCATGCCCACGCCAAGGCCACCTTTACTCCCAGAACACTAAAGCTTGGTTTAAAGTTGCAGCTCAAGCTTTGTGGGATGCGCTGAGAAAGCAGAGAGAAGCCGTTATGGTGATGCAGTGGATGGGCATGAACTTCCATCGCTTCGGGTGAGTCCATACGCTCAGATCGCTCCAGACCCAAACGCGACGACGCTGGTCCTGCTCCTGGATCACCATTACTGTGGTAAATCCAGAGCAATGCCTTCAGAGCGCTCCGGACTTGCCCTGCAAAGGTTGGAGAACTCCAGCAACATCTCCTCAAACCTTAGCTAACACCAGCCAGCACCGTTAAGAGAGAGAGCTGGTGATAAACCAAGCCTGAACCAAGACTCAAAGCCTGGGTCTAGGTCGAGTCAAAGACAAGGACAGCACAAAGCAAATCGTCACGTGAGCTTCACCTACCCATATTTAAACCCGACGCCGTAATAGCGTTACACCTAATTATGCCACAAAACCAGACAAAAGTACCTCGGGCAAGATCACCACGTTACTCCTCAGGGAAAGGCTTTGCCCCATTTTGATGTCAGGAACAGGCGGTGTCTTGCGGGGCCAGGTCGGGGAAGGCTGTGCCCTGCAGGGTGTTGCTGGATTAAGCCCCTGCCCAGATAAACACCTCCAAGTAAGAGGGAGAATTTAAAAATAGTAACACTAAAACCTAAACAAACAGTAATGGTTTGAGGGCTTTGCTTTGGAATAAAAGATTAATGGATGTATTGATTGACTCAAGGGGCTGGGACAAAGGCTGACAGCCGTGTTTATTTTTTAGCATCTGTCTGTGGACTTACTGTGCTTGTGTCCGAGCAAATATTGCGTTAAGGAAGCTTATGAACTGACACATGAAGCTTGGTTGGGTTGTCTCCAGCTCAGGCCGCGGGCTGTCTGAAAATGCTGCCACCAAAATACGTTAGCAGGAGTTACAACAGCTTAATATTTAGGAGCAGACTGGGCTGAAGATGTGTTCAGATGCCTCTGCAAAGCTACTCAGCCTTAGAAATACGTGTTGAACCTGGTGTGACACTTGGGGAAAAGGTTCCCTGAATATGGACTCTATAAATCTTGCAGCTCAGAGCAAGACAGTGTTGAGCTGCCCTGGCACCACAAAAAGCAGCTACTGTGGGATGCCAGGAAGGACCGGACCAGGCAAGGGCTGCCGTGCCGGGACTTACGGCAGGGGATGCTGCAGCAAAGCAAGCGGCAGAGATGGAGGAGGGACGCAGCTTTCCAGCAAAAGACCAGGGTGAAGTGCAGGGCTGTACAGCCCCTGCTGACGGACCCACAAATGCTCCTGTTCCAGTGCTGTGCACACCTAATTCTGGAGAATTTAGGAAAAACCTCAGCAGTGCGGCAGCTCGGGCACTGCTGAGTAATTTGGCTGTTGCCTGGCTTTTGGCACCTTCTGCTAATGCTTGGGGAGCCTGTTGGGCCAGAGGTGGGTCGCTACTTCTGCTACGAGCTAAGTCTGCGCGCAAAAAGGTTCAAAGAAACACAAAGGGATTTTTGAAAAGCACCCTTCAAGACCTAACGCATCTTGCAGAGCTCCAGCCACGGTCAATGATTAACCTGCTGCACCCATTGGACCTCCCTGCTTCCAGCTCTCGACACAAGGAACCAGATCCCTTCTGAAACTACCTATTCCCACTGCCTCCCCGGCATACAAAGCCTCCGAACTGCCAGGCATGCAAAAACCACAAGGAAGAACCCCCCAGAAAATAATCCCTGGAGACGGTTAACAGACCAATTGCAAATACATTCATGATTCTTCTCACCCTGCCTCCTTGTTAAGTCTTTCCCATGCAGCTTGGTCACCCTGAAACTGCTCTCCTCCGCAGCGCAGGGACCCAGCTCTCGGAGAAGCTGGACCTCACACAATCCCATGGCAGCAGCAGCCAGGGCTTCAAAGACGGGGGACGGGATGGGCATGATGTTCAGAGTCGGTGGAGAAGCTGCGACCCTTCTGCTAAATCCCCATGTGGCAGAGCAGGCAGCGCTGCCTGCAAGGATGGATGCCGGAGGGGCAGGGACCACGGTGCTACAGCAATAAACCCACAGCTGCGTTTCTTATCATCATTGACTTGAAACACCACCTAAAACCCCACTGATCACAGGAGAAGGAAAAACCCAGAAGCCTTAAGTGACCATTTTAAAGCTTTAAGCTATTTAACTGTGGGTTTCCACACACTGATAGAGAAGCCAGTGCCCTCACCGCAAGAAGCTTTTCCTCCCCAAAGCGCTCTCTGCATCCTTTGTATCTAGGGAGATGCCAAGCATCTTGGAGAGAGACCTCCTGAACGCCCCAACGCGAAGGAGGGCGTCCAGCCTTGCAGGTGAGATGGTGGCAGTCACCCAAGGTGACAGCAAGGCAAGCGTGACAGCCCTCCACAGAGGGAGCGGGTGGGCAGAGGAGCTCTTGAACCCTGCCGAGAAGATGCTTTGCTCCCAAGGATGGCTCATAGGCATCAACGCCTGGTTTAAAAAACAGTTATAGCTGCACTACATCTTCATGCAAACCCAGTGACACATCTGCAGCCATGGTGCTCTGCAGCATCTCTGAGTGTCCAAGCCTTGGGCTGGGCTCTGCACCATCCACCGCTCCCATCAAAGCCTGGCAGGGCCTCCAAGGGGGAAGAGCCGCCCAACTCTCCTGGAAAACACTCAGGACTGTGCATCTAAACCCCCTGATCACCACCAGCTTCACACCTCTATGTGCTGCAGATACAAGGGAACGTTTTCAGATACGCCCTGAAGATTGTGGATCCCAGCCCTGCTTCCAAAAATGATGCCTGCGCTTTGGGGCCCCAATCCCATTTCCTCCCAGTAAGTCACCAGGTCACTTTTGGACTTGCCTCAAGTCCCCCAGCTCACTTTTGGACATGAAGCATCAGCTCCCCGCTTGCTTTAGGAACTCTTGAAACGTGAACTGCAAACCTACATGGAGCTACATGAAATAAAAGGAGCTCCCTTCGATAACATATATTTTTTGCTCTTACAGCTTGGCTGTTTTTCCCTCCTCTCCAGCTGCCAGGTCTTTAAAATCCCACAGGACTAGAGAGAGAAAAAAAAAAAAGGCAGGCAGGAAATAAAAAAGCAGGTAGGGGAAAGGAGAAAAAAAAAAAAAAGGAGTTTTCTATGGCCCAGATGAACCTAGCCCCTTTGCTAACCACGGCAAAGCGATATTTTCTAGCGGGATGAGGGGGACCATGCTGTGAAAAGCAGCCGTGGGTGGCCGTCCCCAGAGCTTCCCGTGGGTACTTACTGGTGCTTGTGCTAGTGCCGATGGTGTTGATGGTTGTGGGGACGGAGGAGGAGGAGTAGAGGGGCAGATGGCCGTTCTCGCACGCCAGGTTTTTGTCCTGCCAGCTGGAAGCGCTGACGCTTATGCCCGAGTCTCGAGAGTTTTGCCATCCGTTGAGTTTGTCGTCGGAGTTTTGTCTTTGGTGATAGTAGTGCGTCTGCCCGTAGTCCACCGAATCCGACCGACCTCTGCTCTGGCTGCCGAAGCCACCCGACGTGCGGTCCTCCAGGTGGTTGAGCCACATGGCCAGGGCACTCCTGTCCTCTAAGGAGGTGGCAGGGTGTATCAAGGCGTAGGACAGCAGCTGCCTGCTCTCCTCGATGTGTTGGTTGTGTTCGATCGAGTGGGCCAGGATTTTAGGCAAGAGTTTCATGTATTCGACTTTTGCCTCGATGTTTCCGGGCTTCAGTAAAGGCAGGTGGGTTAACAATAGGGAAATCACTTTATCCTTGGATTCCTGTTGCCATTGGTTAATGATTCCTGTTGAAGGAATAGAAAAAAAAAAAGAGAAGAGAATTGAGAAATCGGCAAACAGAGCTAATAAAGAAATAAATAGACCCTGGCAGGGTAAATAGGACACGCCAAAGGGATGCCTGCATGCGTGATGCCACTGCATGAGCATCTCCCGGGCAGGCAGGGTCACCGCTCTCTGAAAACCAAGGTCACGGCACGGTGTGCTGAACTGGACATCGAGAGTTTCCAGATGCTCCCGAAAATCATTCAAAAAACCAAATTACACCCACCTATACAGCCACGTAGCTCCACTGCTGTTGTCCTAATGTTAATTAAAGTCACGATTTGGCCCAAATTTTCCGTATCGTTGCAGATTACACAAAATACTACACAAAACCTCCACATGGATAAACTTAACCTTTTAAAAGCACTGCTTGGAAAATGGAAAAGGTCAAGATTCAAAGGAGCTAACACAGGCAAGACCGCAGGGGGCAAAGGGAAGAAGCATCCCAGCGCGGGAGGCAATAACCAACCCAGGGTGCTGGTCCCTCCGCCAGCCTGGCGCAAGGAGCTGCCCCAAAGTTGTGGAGGGAAGGGCTCAGCTGAAGCAGCCGCTGAGCTATTGTTCCTCTGTTAGCTCACCGCAGATAGGAGAGGTTTTAGAGGTGCAGAATAAAAGCAAACCTAGGATTTAGCTTTAAAGATATGCAAAAGGAATAGTCAGGGAATTACAAACTGGTCACTTAAACTCCCGGAAAACTGATGGAACAAATAATGAAACAACCTATTTGTAAGCACTTAGAAGATAACAAGATGATAAGTGACTGCCGACACCGATTTGTCAAGAACAATTTAATTTCCTTCTGCGACAGAGTAACTGGCCTGTGAATAGCTGGAGAAGCAGTCAGCGCCGTATATCTTGATATTCATTAGGTGCTGCCACACATGGCTTCCTCAGCAGCACACCAGAGAAACACGCTCAGGTGAAACTACTCTAATGTGGGCACACAATTCATCAGAAAACCATATGGAGAGAGTCCTTACTGGCGATTCACCATCAGACTGGGAGGATGTGCTGGGCAAGGAGACTTGTCCCGGCCGTGACACTACCCAGTATGTCACTGGTGACACGGGTGATGTGATAAATGTATTCGACGTGCAGGTATCACGCTAGGAGAAATTAAACCACTCCAGAAAACTGGATTAGAAGACAAACAATGTGAAAACTTGGAGAAAAGTCAGAAAAAATCAGCTGCATTAAGTAGGTGCAAGCATCTGCATGCAGGTGGGAACAAATTGCTGTGCAGCACCAGGCAGGGAAGAGCCTGGGGTCAGGAAGCATCACAGGCTGGACATCAGTCAAGATGCCGTGTTGCACATGAAAACTGCACCAGCCAGCCTGTGATCTGTCTGAGAGGTGAAGACCGGTGTGGACAAGCTGCTCTCCATGCCTCCTGGGGATTGTAGTAATAGGTTTGACTTGCAGCAAAGGGAATGAGGTCGGACATGAAGAAACTACATCCTACGGGTAGGGCTAGTGATGGGCAGGGAGAGGTTGCCTACAGACGTTGTGAAATCTCCATCACTGGAGGTTTTTCTGAACAGCTTGTACAAACACCAGCCAAGGATAGCTCAGGATCTACCTAGACCACCCGACTGACGCTTCCCAGCCCCAGGTCAGTCTCTCCTCCAGCGTTTACCAAACCCCTCTATGAAGCCTTCAAACTTTCAGTCCCTGTAGCCAGCTGTGCCTAAGGGTGCCACAGCTGAACCATCTGGTGAAAAAGGACTTCCTTCTGTTTGCTTTAAACCCACTGCCCAAAACCACCAAGTGAAATGCCCAGAGTTCTCATGTTATTAAAAAAAACCCCAAACTTTACGTTCTCCCTCCCTGTCTGCTGTGTCCTATCGACACTGTAGAGGAAGCTGCTCCAAATCATTGATTGTCCCTATATCCGTCATGTGTTTTTGAGCTAGGGTAACCGAACCCACACCTGTGAAACGAAGATCTGGATGTCCATCTGTAGGATAACCCATCAGGTTCGCTCTTGGGAAGACCCACGCTGCCTTCCAGCAGCTAACCCAACCCTTCCACCACCCCACCAGAAGAGGGGTATTACAGTAGGGCCTTTTCCCAATTACGACCAAACCCTGCAAGTCGGTTCCCCAACACCACTGCGGTGGTGAGCAGCACTCACCCCTCCAGCTTTGCCTTCCCAGTTTGAAGGCATGCAACTGTTTTAATAGGAAGCCACTAGATGGCTTGCTGGAAACGCCGACGGCTCTCGCTGGAACTTTCTGCAGTGGTATTTACTTCTCTGCAGACCCACCCCTCCTCCAGAGCTGTTTCCCGACCCGGCCAGTGGTGTGCCCAAGCCATCTCCTGCCACTGTGCTGAGAGGCGCAAGGGACGTGGCGTGGCACAGCTTTGGTGGAGAAGAAACCACTTCATTTGCAGCAGAAGCGAGTTTTGGTGCTCTGGATGTGCTCCAGTGCCTGCGGAGATGCTGCGAGGTTGCTTTGGTGCTAAAAAATGGGATTTGGAAAAGCAATGCTCAACCTAAGTGGAGCTGTAAAAAATACACAAGTGTAGTGGGACTCAAGGTCCACCAGAACATCTCCGTATTTTCCATACGCAGATGTAACTGCTACAGGCAAAGCTTCCCGTCGTGCTTAATCCCACTTCTCTGTCCCCTTTCTCTCCCCTCCTCTTGGGTTGAAAGCCCATCTTATTTTCTCCCCTCCTCCTGCAGAGGCATGCCTCCCATTCCGTTATCACCCCCATGTTTTATCATTGCCATCGGGGCGATTCGGCAGCACTTTCAGGCCGGCACCACCTGCGGAGAGAGGCTGCGGGACTTTGCAGCACCTCGGATAAACTGAGAAATCAAAAGATCATTACAAAAAGGCATGCAATGCACTGCTAAAAGAAGTCGGTGCCACTTGTACATAGGAACTCGGTAGCAAAATACATGAAGAAAAAGTAGAGCGTGGTGCAAACTGGGTGCAGGGGAGGAGGAGAAGGATGGGGGAGGCCAGAAGGATGGCCATGGCCAGACTCCTCTTCCTCGCACGGGGAGGGGCTGAGCATGAAAGTCACCACCGGGGAAACACAGGATGGTGCCAGAGCCGCTTCTTGGGAAACTTGCCCCAAGAGATTTGGGGGTTTGAAATCACAACCCCAAAAAGATGGAGCATTGATCTGAAAGCCCGCGGCTGCCCCGGCCCGGGCGGGAGCCGCTGTCCTGCTCAGCCAGCAGCAAGATGTGCACAACTAAACAAAAATGGAAAATAATTAGATCCGAAAAAGGTTTGTCTCTCTCCGACATGGGGCGGAAGGTCAGGCTTAATCCTATCTGCCAGAAAACAGAGGGATCTGGAGAGGGCGGCGGCAGCAGGAGGAAAGCTGGGCAGGGGGAGTGGGGCCAGTGACCCCCCGAAGCCCCTCTCCACCCTCTCCCGAACACAGGAGCCCCCGCATCAGCTCCCTGCCTGCTTCCACACACGCCGGGACACCTGGGCTGCCTCACCCTTTATTGCCAGAACAAGGCCCCCAGTCAGCTGCGGTTAGGATGTGCCCTGGTCTTGGGCTTCCACGTCCCAGGGTCCCGGCATGCTTCCTGCAGTGGTGTACGGGGTGGCAGGCACTAATCCCATTACAGCTTCATTAGTTCCCCCGGGATGCTGCTGCAAGGATGCCCGATGCTTTCCGTCACATGGTTTTCGCTGCTCTAAGGGATGGCAAGACTATTGGTATTTGCAGCAGGCAAATCTGAGCATAGAGAAAGCCCCAAAGTTAGAAACTCCACCTTGCTGCTTTGAAACTCCCCCAAATCCCTGTCCTGCCCGTTGCTGTCATTGCACTGACATCTCCTTTTGGAGATGAGCTAAAATACTAACTAACAAGGGCCCTAAGGAGCCAGATCCCATCCCAGCCCTGTGACCTCTGTACTGGGAAGGGATGGGAGCTGCCAGTTCACCCTGAAGCAGAAAATCCCAATTTTCATTATGGGACTCTTTTTCTTGGGTGAGAAGCTGAATGAAGCGGGATGTTAAACTACCTTCTAACTTAGGATTACCTACCCAATACAATTTTGGTGCCATACAGCACAGCTGATGCATGTGTAGGGTGCCTGCAAATAAATATAGCACCAAATATAGCCGGGTCCTGCTTCCAAGGCTGAAACCTGTGCTGCGCTATGAATAGGTCCAATGCTATCCCTGAAACAGGGGCTTTCTGCCTTGAGAAAGAGGTGATGTTTGTCAATTTAATAAGGGCTCATCGGATTTCTCTGTCACAAATCTGCTTAATCACTTCTGGATCCCTGCAAACTGTTAATTGCCTTCATGTCTGGTGGCGACGGATCCACCTCTAACGCCGCACTGCGTGAAGGACCTTTTTGCCATTACTTTGAACCTGCCTCCTGATAGATGACTGCGTTATTTCAACCGCCAGCAAAGCACGTGGAGCTCCTGAAGCTGTTAATGATGTACCGGGAACAGCCGCAGTTTTCCAAAGGTAAAGCCAGCGTGCATGGACAAAGGCAGGGAGACACACAGTCCCCGTGGACGCCTGCAAAACCCAACGCAGGCGGCACACTGGTGCCTGCATTTAGAAACCTTGAAGTACCTAACTGCCTGTTTTTTTCTCCTATTTTTGATTTTTGATTTTTGCAAACAGACCTCTGGCCCCCACCTCGAAAACACCGACCCTGCCTGGAGGGATGGCCGAGAGGAGCTGTCAGCACAGGCACACGAACGCGTCTGTCTCACCAGGTGAGACGTCTCCAAGGAACAACGGCAATGCGGGATACCTCTCAAGTGCTTAAAAAGACCCCAGAAAAGAACCAACCCCAACCAAGATAAACCTTTTCATTTTAAAAGCAGAAATTGGGTTATCCTCCTGTTGTCATATACAGCTTATCACATTTCACAAGTGAAGCAGACAAATATGTTCACTGGGGTTTTGACGAAGCAGGCGAGATGAATGATGTGCAATTTATGAGCTAGACAACAGCTTATCATGA